TCTAATCTGGGTCAGGTGGGCATGATTTGAAAGCTTGTTCTATTGCCAACATGACTAGCTAAGTTATAAAATACGATCTTACAGTGTTAGGCTTTCAAGAGGCAATTCAAGAAAACGGATCATAATTTTGGTGCACATAGATTCGGAGTCATGAGTGTATTCAGGTGCGTGTGCTGTGGTGAATTAGTTTACATCCCTGTTAGTGAGCATTTCTCCTTTGCCAAGATAATCCATCTACCTGACAGGTGTGGAAGCTGATTCAACAGCATGATCAGCATGATGGGGACAATAAAAGTGCACTCTAAAATGTGCAGTTTTGTCACACAACACAATGCCACAGATGTCTCAAGTTTTGATGGAGCGTGCAATTGGCATGCTGACTGCAGGAATGTCCACCATAGCTGTTGCCAGAGAATCAAATGTTAATTTCTCTACCATCGCAACCCCTATTACCAGCCGGTTCAACCTCTCATTCGTATCGTCTGAGATCCCCAGAGATTGGAAAGCTGCCGCAGTCATCCCCCTCTTCAAACGGGGTGTCACTCTAGATCATCCTGCCCTGCCTTTCCAAAGTATTTGAAAGCCAAGTTAACAAACAGATCACCGACCATTTCGAATCCCACCGTACCTTCTCCGCTATGCAATCTGGTTTCCGAGCTGGTCATGGGTGCACCTCAGCCACGCTCAAGGTCCTAAACGATATTATAACCGCGATCGATAAAATACAGTACTGTGCAGCCGTCTTCATTGACCTGGCCAAGGCTTTCGACTCCGTCAATCACCGGATACATATGGGCAGACTAAATAGCTTTGGTTTCTCAAATGACTGCCTCGACTGGTTCACCAACTACTTCTCAGATAGAGTTCAATGTGTCAAATCGGAGGGCCTGTTGTCTGGACCTCTGGCAGTCTATGGGGGTGCCACAGGGTTCAATTCTCGGGCCGACTCTATTCTCTGTGTACATCAATGATGTCGCTCTTGCTGCTGGTGACGCTCAGATCCACCTCTACGCAGACGACACCATTTTGTATACATCTGGCCCTTCATTGGATACTGTTTTAACAAACCTCCAAACGAGCTTCAATGCCATACAGCACTCCTTCCGTAGCCTCCAACTGCTGTTAAACGCTAGTAAAACTAAATGCATGCTCTTCAATCGAACGCTGCTTGCACCCGCCTGCCCGACTAGAATCACTACTCTCGGCGGGTCTGACTTAGAATATGTGGACAGCTACAAATACCTAGGTGTCTGGTTAGACCATAAACTCTCCTTCCAGACTCACATTAAGCATCTCCAATCCAAAGTTAAATCTAGAATCGGCTTCCTATTTCGCAACAAAGCCTCCTTCACTCAAGCTGCCAAACATGCCCTCGTAAAACTGACTATCCTTCCGATCCTTGACTTCGGCGATGTCATTTACAAAATAGCCTCCAACACTCTACTCAGCAAATTGGATGTAGTCTATCACAGTGCCATCCGTTTTGTCACCAAAGCCCCATATGCTACCCACCATTGTGACCTGTCCACTCTCGTTGGCTGGCCCTCACTACATATTCGTTGCCAAACCCACTGGCTCCAGGTCATCTATAAATCACTGCTAGGCAAATCCCTGCCTTATCTTAGCTCATTGGTCACCATAGCAACACCCACCCGTAGTATGCGCTCCAGCAGGTACAGTGGGGAGAACAAGTATTTGATACACTGACGATTTTGCAGGTTTTCCTACTTACAAAGCATGTAGAGGTCTGTAATTTTTTATCATAGGTACACTTCAACTGTGAGAGACAGCATCTAAAACAAAAATGCAGAAAATCACATTGTATGATTTTTAAGTAATTAATTTGCATTTTATTGCATGACATAAGTTTTTGATACATCAGAAAAGCAGAACTTAATATTTGGTACAGAAACCTTTGTTTGCAATTACAGAGATCATACGTTTCCTGTAGGTCTTGACCAGGTTTGCACACACTGCAGCAGGGATTTTGGCCCACTCCTCCATACAGACCTTCTCCAGATCCTTCAGGTTTCGGGGCTGTCGCTGGGCAATACGGACTTTCAACTCCCTCCAAAGATGTTCTATTGGGTTCAGGTCTGGAGACTGGCTAGGCCACTCCAGGACCTTGAGATGCTTCTTACGGAGTCACTCCTTAGTTGCCCTGGCTGTGTGTTTTGGGTCATTGTCATGCTGGAAGACCCAGCCACGACTCATCTTCAATGCTCTTACTGAGGGAAGGTTGTTGGCCAAGATCTCGCGATACATGGCCCCATCCATCCTCCCCTCAATACGGTGCAGTCATCCTGTCCCCTTTGCAGAAAAGCATCCCCAAAGAATGATGTTTCCACCTCCATGCTTCACGGTTGGGATGGTGTTCTTGGGGTTGTACTCATCCTTCTTCTTCCTCCAAACACAGCGAGTGGAGTTTAGACCAAAAAGCTATATTTTTGTCTCATCAGACCACATGACCTTCTTCCATTCCTCCTCTGGATCATCCAGATGGTCATTGGCAAACTTCAGACGGGCCTGGACATGCGCTGGCTTGAGCAGCGGAACCTTGCATGCACTGCAGGATTTTAATCCATGACGGCGTAGTGTGTTACTAATGGTTTTCTTTGAGACTGTGGTCCCAGCTCTCTTCAGGTCATTGACCAGGTCCTGCCGTGTAGTTCTGGGCTGATCCCTCACCTTCCTCATGATCATTGATGCCCCACGAGGTGAGATCTTGCATGGAGCCCCAAACCGAGGGTGATTGACCGTCATCTTGAACTTCTTCCATTTTCTAATAATTGCGCCAACAGTTGTTGCCTTCTCACCAAGCTGCTTGCCTATTGTCTTGTAGCCCATCCCAGCCTTGTGCAGGTCCACAATTGTATCCCTGATGTCCTTACACAGCTCTCTGGTCTTGGCCATTGTGGAGAGGTTGGAGTCTGTTTGATTGAGTGTGTGGACAGGTGTCTTTTATACAGGTAACGAGTTCAAACAGGTGCAGTTAATACAGGTAATGAGTGGAGAACAGGAGGGCTTCTTAAAGAAAAACTAACAGGTCTGTGAGAGCCGGAATTCTTACTGGTTGGTAGGTGATCAAATACTTATGTCGTGCAATAAAATGGCAATGAATTACTTAAAAGTCATACAATGTGAATTTCTGGATTTTTGTTTTAGATTTCATCTTTCACAGTTGAAGTGTACCTAGGACAAAAATTACAGACCTCTACATGCTTTGTAAGTAGGAAAACCTGCAAAATCGGCAGTGTATCAAATACTTGTTCTCCCCACTGTATATCTCACTGGTCATCCCCAAAGCCAACACCTCCTTTGGCCGCCATTCGTTCCAGTTCTCTGCTGCCAATGACTGGAACGAACTGCAAAAATCTCTTATCTCCCTCTCTAACTTTAAGCATCAGTTTTCAGAGCAGCTTACCGATCACTGAACCTGTACACAGCCCATCTGTAATTAGCCCACCCAACTACCTCATCCCTATATTGTTATTACATCATCTTCTGCACATCTATCATTCCAGTGTTAATACTAAACTGTAATTATTTTGCCCCATGGCCTATTTATTGCCTTACCTCCATAACTTACTACATTTGCACACACTGTATATAGATTTTCTATTGTGTTATTGACTGTACGTTTTTGTTTATCCCATATGTAAGTCTGTGTTGTTGTTTTTAATCGCACTGCTTTGCTTTATCTTGGCCAGGTTGCAGTTGTAAATGAGAACTTGTTCTCAACTGGCTTACCTGGTTAAATAAAGGTGAAATAAAAACCGGGCTCACAACCGCAAACCACGTGTATGGCGTCGTGTGGGCGAGCGGTTTGCTGATGTCAACAGAGTGCCCCATGGTGGCGGTAGGGTTATGGTATGGGCATGCATAAGACACCGACAACGAACACAATTGCATTTTATCAATGGCAATTTAAATGCACAGAGATCCTGAGGCCCATTTGTTGTGCCATTCATCGGCCGCCATCACCTCATGTTTCAGCATGATAATGCATGGCCCAATGTCACAAGGATCTGTACACAATTCCTGGAAGCTGAACATTTCAGTTTTTCCATGGCCTGCATTCTCACCAGACACGTCACCTATTGAGCATATTTGGGATGCTTCATGCCCCTTTTAATGTTTTTAAAGGTATCTGTGACTAACAGATGCATATGTGTATTCCCAGTCATGTGAAATCCATAGATTTGGGCCTAATGAATTTATTTCAACTGGCTGATTTCCTTATATGAACTGTTACTCAGTAAAATCGTAGAAATTGTTGCGTTTATATTTTTGTTCAGTATAAATGTGTTAGAAAAAAATATTTAGATAAAGTAGGCAAGCAAACTAATTAGTCCGTTCTCAATGGGTTAACTCTCCTTCAGTATATAGACAATTGATAATATATATTATTTGACATTGAGTCATTGACTAACACACATCAGTATCCAAAAGTTAGTCACCACCACCATACTTCACCTTTAACTGCAAGGTTCCTGGTTCAAACCCTACTCCAACTGTCTTCCTCCATCATTACAGTACATAGTGTTCAATTGGTGATAGGTGTGGTGGTCCCTGGTTCAAAATGTCCCCCTGCATTGCTACAGTAGTGTAATATTCAGTCATTAATCATTATGTGCAGTGTCTGAGGAGGTACCTGGTTCAAGCCCTGCTCCAGATGACCCCCAACTGTATAGCCATTCACTCACTTATCCCCTCCTCCCCACAAACAAAGGGTCTCCAGTTCTGGCAGTCTTTGGCAATTTTCTCCACCATCCCCCAGCTCTGCTGATGTTAATGGAGCTCAGTGTCTATTGTTTTCCACCATGTTGTCCTCGGCCTTCAATTAATAACAGTAGTGTAATGTTCAGTTAACAGTTAGTGATTATAAGAGCGGTGTCTGAGGTGGTCTCTGGTTCAAAGTCATGGTACTCCTCCATTTCTGTCTCCTCTGTAGCACTGTTCTGGAAATGCACGTGTCTTTTTTTCTCTTTCCTCCTCTCTCATTTGTTCCTCCCTCGCTCCAGCTCTGACCATGGCTGCTCCATCTCTACCTCCAGCATGGCCCGGCTGCTCTCTCCTCTCTCCCCCACTCCCAAGGCACTCTCCCTGGGTACGATGGACAGCCCTGCCCCTCTATTCCCCATCGCGATGTGGAGGAAGGAGAAGGTGTGTTCTGTCCCTCCTCTCTCAGACACACACACAGACGTTATCCCTACATTGTTCTCCAGGTCTTTAGGGGACGCTGTTTGGGTCTTTTTGCTGAGGATGAAGTTGAAGAAGGCTGTGACCAGGAGCATGGTGCCTGGAATCAAAGAGGAGACGTTTTCAGACTGGAGAAACGTTTTTAATTTAAACTGACTCTAAAATGCTGGGCAAGTGTCAATGTTTGTGAAGTACCTTAACCTTTTATTAAATGTAATACGTTTGTAGTATTACCTGAACAGTAGTAATGGTTAGGCAAGGATAATGCCATGGTTAGGTATTGTTGTTACCTGGTGGTGGTGTTACCTGGTATAATAGCGTGCCACACTAACACAGGGTGAAGGAAACATGCCACTGACATCATGGAGTAGTAGAGGAACTTCTGGAAGCCTCCAAGACGAGCCATCTTTCCCCACAACACAAACACACACCACCCTGGGGGGCAACTAGAGAGAGGAGGGGGTATGAGGAGCGGAGATAGGTGAGGAGGGGTGAGAGCATGGGACAGAGATGGAGACAGTTTTATGTAGGAGCTTTGTTGTTCACTTCACTTGTAAAATAAATAGCCACACATTTGTTCTGATTACAAAAGGCAAAGGGCACCCTATTTCCCAACTCCGGTCCTCGAGTACCCCCAACAGCACACATTTTTGTTGTAGCCCTGGACAAAAACTACTGCTTCAACTTGTGAAGGGCTTGATGATTAGTTGACAAGTACAATCAAGTGTGCTTGTCCGGGCCACAACAAAAATATGAACTGTTGGGGATACAGGAAGACTGGAGTTGGGAAACACCGCCTATACAACACTCTGGCTCTTTGGCTCCCATAGTGCACTAAACAGAGAATAAAGTACCATTTTGGATGCACACTTAGAAAAAGCCTTTTGATGGAGATTATGGGTAGTGTACTCACGGCAGACACATCTGCAGAAGGGCATCTAGGAAGTAGGCTACCTCAAACACCATCATACCTGCCCCAGACACCCTAAGGGATTCAACACACAGATCAGAGAACAGACTCAGAAACAAATAGATGCTAGTGATCAGACAACTACAGTGCCTTGCAAAAGTATTCATCCCCCTTGGCGTTTTTCCTATTTTGTTGCATTACAACCTGTAATTTAAATGGATTTCATGTAATGGACATACACAAAATATTCCAAATTGGTGAAGTGAAACGTAAAAAATTACTTGTTTCAATTTTTTTTTTTTATAACGGAAAAGTGGTGCGTGCATATGTATTCACCCCCTTTGCTATGAAGCCCCTAAATAAGATCTGGTGCAACCAAATTACCTTCAGAAGTCACATCATTATTTAAATAAAGTCCACCTGTGTGTGATCTAAGTGTCACATGATCTCAGTAAATATACACCTGTTCTGAAAGGCCCCAGAGTCTGCAACACCACTAAGCAAGGGGCACCACCAAGCAAGCGGCACCATGAAGACCAAGGAGCTCTCTAAACAGGTCAGGGACAAAGTTGTGGAGAAGTACAGATCAGGGTTGGGTTAAAAAAAATATCAGAAACTTTGAACATCCCACGGAGCACCTTTAAATACATTATAAAAAAATGGAAAGAATATGGCACCACAACAAACCTGCCAAGAGAGGGTCACCCACCAAAACTCACGGTGCAGGCAATGAGGGCATTAATCAGAGAGGCAACAAAGAGACCAAAGATAACCCTGAAGGAGCTGCAAAGCTCCACAGCGGAGATTGGAGTGTCTGTCCATAGGACCACTTTAAGCCATACACTCCACAGAACTGGGCTTTACGGAAGAGTGGCCAGAAAAAAAGCCATTGCTTAAAGAAAAAAATAAGCAAACACGTTTGGTGTTCGCCAAAAGGCATGTGGGAGACCCCCCAAACATAAAATTGAGCTTGTTGGCCATCAAGGAAAACGCTGTCTGGCGCAAACCCAACACCTCTCATCACCCCAAGAACACCATCCCCACAGTGAAGTATGGTGGTGGCAGCATCATGCTGTGGGGATGTTTTTCATCGGCAGGGACTGGGAAACTTGTCAGAATTGACAGAATGATGGATGGCGCTAAATACAGGGAAATTATTGAGGGAAACCTGTTTCAGTCTTCCAGAGATTTGAGACTGGGACGGAGGTTCACCTTCCAGCAGGACAATGACCCTAGACATACTGCTAAAGCAACACTCGAGTGGTTTAAGGGGAAACATTTAAATGTCTTGGAATGGCCTAGTCAAAGCCCAGACCTCAATCCAATAGAGAATCTGTGGTATGACTTAAAGATTGTTGTACACCAGCGGAACCCATCCAACTTGAAGGAGCTGGAGCAGTTTTTCCTTGAAGAATGGGCAAAAATCCCAGTGGCTGGATGTGCCAAGCTTATGTGTTGTTGTCTTATTTCTTTATTTAAAAATATGTTGCTTCTTCAAAGTGGTAGGCATGTTGTGTAAATCAAATGATACAACTCCCAAAAAAATCTGTTTTAATTCCAGGTTGTAAGGCAACAAAATAGGAAAAATGCCAAGGGGGGTGAATACTTTCGCAAGCCACTGTATGGACCAGCTTAAGTGAGTATGTCATACTGAGTATACCCCATGACATTTCCTATCAGAAGACTCTGTCTTTACTGTTGATACATGTGATAAACAGTCTTGCATTTCTCTACTCCTCAGGGAGATGTTTTTCTGTGCTGCGCAGTGCGTGTTGCTCAATGGGAGTTTGGCCATAGGTCACAGAGATAACACAAAGTAGGACAGTAACCCAGGTCCCTTGCTCTTGCTTGCCCTGCCCTTCCTCCCCTGCCTCCCCCATCATCCTCCCCCCTAGACCACCCCTCACCCAGCCACCCTCCTCTTTTTCCACTGTGAGTGCAGATTGACCTGAAACACACATTCTTTCCTTTATTAAAGTAGTGGGGGGTCTAGAGGGACTACTGTGTGACTAAATAAGGGGTTTGCATCTACAGTTACCTATCCAAGTGAAGCAGGAAGTATCTATCCAATCGGAGTACTCACAGCAAGTAGATGGCCAGACTGTGGAACTCCCCCTGTCGTAACGTCTCCACCCCCACAGCACAAAGCACTGGAGACAGAGTGGCAGGTTATACATACACGCACACACAAGCACACACACACTTCACATTTTGCATTTAAACAAAATAGTGATGATGATTTAGATTAGATGAATGGTAAATTAACTATTGAATTTCCAATAAATTATTGCCTAGTACTTTATTCCAAATTGACTGTAGGCCATTGTCCAACAGGTTGTTTGTACATGTAGTGGCCACTAGATATCAGTGTTAACACATAGCTGTCTTCCCTAAGTCTTACCAGAGAGGCTATAAAGTTAGTATTATGTTTGGTATCACTCAGAGAGGGGCAGTATTTCTGTTACATGTATATGAAATACAAATTTGAATTACTTTTGAGTATTTTGTCATTATTATTTTCACTGTCCTGAAATACAATCCAATGTATTTTGACACAAGATACTTTAGAGAGCTGTAATTTGTATTTTCGAAATACAAAATACTTTTCTATAAAAATAATGTATAGCGGTTCACAATTTTGTGGCCCCATATCACCCCATATTTGCTGCCTTGGTATCAGAACACTGGTGGCGATTATGATGTGATAAGACCGTCTGCTAAATCAGTGTTTCCCAACTCCAGTCCTCGAGTACCCCCAACAGTACACATTTTTATTGTAGCCCCAAACAACCACACCTGATTCAACTTGTCAACTGTGTCTTTGTCCGGGGCTACAACGAAAATGTATACTGTTGGGGGTACTTGAGGACTGTAGTTGGGAAACACTGTTTAAATGACGAACATGTAAAAATGAACACTTGCAAAGCACAATGGCCATTATTCTAATGAGCTCAACCCCCGAAACTAGGCCATATTGGATTAAAATACAAGTTGTTTGAGGGCGGAGCTCATTAGAATAATACCTAGTGTGCTTTGCAGGTGTTCATTTTAATATTTACAGTTTTGTCCATTTAGCAGACTCTTATCCTAGCGGCTTACAGTTAGTGCATTCAACTAAGCTAGATAAACAACCACATCATGGTTATAGCAAGTAAAACGTTTCTGTTACCGTTACTGAGAATGTTGTTGTAGCTACGGTGTCTACTTGCAAATGTATATTATACCTGTATTTTATCTAAGTACAATACTTTTTGCAAAAGTATTTTGTGTTTTAGTTTGATACATTGGTCTTTAGAGTATCTTCTATTTGTAACAAGATACATTTTGATGTATATTTTGCCCACCTCTGGTATCACAGAATACTGCGGCTTCTAAACTGTAACAATATCTCAGAAAATATGTAATTTCCAACAATTCAAAATACAGTGCATTCGGAAAGTATTCAGACACCTTGACTTTTTCCAGATTTTGTTACGTTACAGCCTTATTCTAAAATTGATTGAATAATTTTTTCCCTCATCAATCTACACACAATATCCTATAATGGCAAAGATAAAACACGTTTTTAGAAATGTTTGCAAATGTATGAAAATTAAAAACAGAAATACCTTATTTACATAAGTATTCAGAAACTTTGTTATCAGTCTCGAAATTGAGCCTTGGTCTGGGAGGTTACCAAGAACCCGATGGTCACTCTGACAGAGCTCCAGAGTTCCTCTGTGGAGATGGGAGAACCTTCCAGAAGGACAACCATCTCTGCAGCATTCCACCAATCAGGCCTTTATGGTAGAGTGGCCAGACGGAAGCCACACCTCAGTAAAAGGCACATGACAGCACGCTTGGAGTTTGCCAAAAGGCACCTAAAGGAATCGGACCATGAGAAACAAGATTCTCAGGTCTGATGAAACCAATATTTAACTCTTTGGCCTGAATGCCAAGCGTCACGTCTGGAGGAAACCTGGAACCATCCCTATGGTGAAGCATGGTGGTAGCAGCATCATGCTGTGGGGATGTTTTTCAGCGGCAGGGACTGGGAGATTAGTCGACAAGGATTATTGGAGCTGTTCTTGCCATAATATGGACTTGGTCTTTTACCAAATAGGGCTGTCTTCTGTATGCCCCACCTACCTTGTCATAACACAACTGATTGGCTCAAACGCACTAAGGAGGAAATACATTCCAGAAATTAACTTTTAAGAAGGCACACCTGTTAATTGAAATGCATTACAGGTGACCACCTCATGAAGCTGGTTGAGAGAATGCCAAGAGTGTGCAAAGCTGTTGTAACAATGACGTTGTGAGTCGAGAAGCAGGGGAAACGTTTAGTAAAACAACAAACATGAAACGAGACAGCGTAACAGTGGCAATATAGCATAAACACAGGAACAATACCGACCGAGGACTAAACGTAAGGGAGGGACATATAAAGAGGAGGTAATGAGGAAGGTAATGGAGTCCAGGTGTGAATCATAATGATCTGCAGGTGCGTGTTATGATGGATGCCAGGTGTGCATAATGATGAATCCCAGGACTGGTGGTTAGTATTCCGGTGACGTTGCACGCCGGAGGGGAGGAGCAGACATGACAGTACCCTCCCTCTGATGCACGGTTCACGCCGCAGGATGACACCGACCAGAGGGACGACCCCGAGGATGAGGAGCGGGTCGGTCCGGGCGGCGAAGGTGGAAATCACGGATGATGTTGGGATCCAGAATGTCATCCACCGGAACCCAACACCGCTCCTCTGGGCCATACCCCTCCCAGTCCACCAGGTGCAGAGCCGACCCCCACGATGCCGGGAGTCCAGTAGCAATCTGACAGCATATGCCGGACTCCCCTCGATGTCCAGGGGGGGTGGGGGGGTGTCGTGGGGGACTACTTCAGCTAGGGGACCAGGAACCAACGGCCTGAGAAGGGAGACATGAAAAGAGGGTGAGATACGATAGTGACTGGGCAGCTGTAACCTACACGTCACCTCGTTGACCCTCCGGAGAACCTTGAATGGCCCCACAAACCGGGGGCTCAGTTTCTTGCAGGGCAGGTGGAGTGGGAGGTTCCTGGTAGAAAGCCAGATGCGAACCCCAGGGTGGATCACAGGGGTCTCACAGCGGTGGTGGTCTGCCCATTCCTTTTGACGATGGACGGCACGCTGGAGTCTCACTTGAGCGTCGCTCCACACCTCTTCTGTGCGCCGGAACCACTTATCAACCGCAGGAGCTTCGGTCTGTCCCGGGGTCCCTGGTGCCAGGGCCGGCTGAAAACCCAGAACACACTGGAAGGGGGTCAACCCGGTGGAGGAGTGACTTAGCGAGTTCTGGGCGTACTCTGCCCATGGAAGGAATCGTGCCCAATCACCCTGCCGGTCCTGACAGTGACTCCTCAGGAACCTCCCAAGCTCCTGGTTCATCCTCTCCACCTGCCCATTGGACTGAGGCTGGTACCCAGAAGTGAGGCTGACCGTGACCCCGAGCTTCTCCATGAAGGCCCTCCACACTCGTGATGTGAATTGGGGCCCACGGTCAGAGACCATGTCCCTCGGAAGGCCATAATGCCGGAAGACCTGCTGGAAGAGTGTCTCAGAAACCTGGAGAGCAGTGGGGAGACCTGGAAGAGGGAATAAATGACAGGACTTAGAAAATCTATCCACTTCAAACAAAATGGTGGTGAAACCATCAGAGGAGGGGAGATCGGTTACAAAGTCAATGGATAGATGTGACCAGGGTCACTGAGGCACGGGAAGTGGCAGGAGATTCCCTGCTGGAGCGTTCCAGGGGGAACTTGGTTTGAGCAAATACAGAACTGGAATTGATATAGCGAGTGACGTCCTGCGCTAAGGTGGGCCACCAGTATTTCCCAGAGATGGATTGGGTAGTGCGAGAAATACCTGGATGTCCAGTGATGACAGCTGTGTGTGCCCAGGTCAGCAGCCAATCTCTTATCCTGTGGGAATGTAAATGCGCTCTGGAGGACAATTAGTGGGTGCGGGCTCCCTCTCCAGAGCCTGGCGGATGTCCACATCTACGTCCCAGACCACAGGAGCTACGACTCAGGAGGATGGAATTATGGGCGCATTCTGGACAGGACCCTCCCCTGAATCATAGAGACGGGACAGCGCATCGGCCTTGGTGTTCTTAGAACCTGGGTGAAAGGTCAGCGTGAAGTCAAACCTTGTGAAGAAAAGGGCCCACCTTGCTTGACGCAGATTCAGCCTCCTCACTGTCCGTATGTACTCCAGGTTCCGATGGTCGGTGAGAATGACGAATGGTTCCTTGGCGCCCTCCAGCCGGTGTCTCCACTCCTCTAATGCAAACTCTACCGCCAGCAGCTCACGATCACCGACGTCGTATTTCCTCTCTGCAGGGGACAGTTTCTTAGAGTAAAACGCACATGAGTACAACTTCTGTGGGTTACCCTGTCGTTGAGACAGAACTGCCCCCACGCCTACCTCTGAAGCGGCCACCTCCACCACAAAGGATGTCGTGGGATCTGGGTGTTTGATCACTGAGGCGGAGGTGAAACGTCCTTTGAGTAGACAGAAGGCCTCATCGGCTGCTGGGTTCCACACCAACCTACGGGGCCCTCATTTAAGGAGAGAGGTGAGAGGAGCGGCGACAGAGCTAAAGTTCCTGATGAAGCAGCAGTAGAAGTTGGCAAACCCCAAAAACCATTGTAACCCCTTTAAGGTGGTTGGAACTGGCCATGACCTGACTGCATCTACCTTCTTGTCATCCATCTTCACAACCTGCGGACTGATTTGGTAGCCTAAGAAGGACACCGTCCTCTGGTGAAATTGGCACTTCTCAGCCTTGACGAACAGGTGGTTGGCGAGAAGGCATTCCAGGACTGCTCGAACGTGAATGATGTGGTAGCCGAGTAGATCAGGATGTCATTGATATACACGACCACCTGACGGCCGAGCATGTCCCTGAACACCTCGTTAACGAATGCCTGGAACACTGACGGAGCATTGGCTAAGCCATATGGCATTACCAAGTACTCGTAGTGACCAGACATCATGCATAACCGCCTTCCACTCATCCCCCTCCCGGATGCGAATGAGATTGTATGCACTCCGCAGGTCCAGTTTGGTAAAGAACCGTGACCCGCGGAGCTGCTCGGTGGCTGATGGCCCCAATGGGAGAGGGTACCGATACTTTGAGGTGATTTCGATGAGTCCTCTGTAGTCAATGCAGGGAAGTAACCCTCCATCCTTCTTGGCCACGAAGAAGAAACCAGCTGATGCAGAGGAAGTGGACGTGCAGATGAAACCTTGTTGGAGCGCCTCTTGGAAGTAATCCTCCATGGCCTGGGTCTCAGCCACCGACAGAGGGTAGATGCGTCTGCGCGGAGGCGCAGAACCTGAAAGCAGGTCGATGGCACAGTCCCAGGGGCGATGAGGAGGAAGACAGGTGGCGTGGGTCTTGAAGCATACCTCCCACAGGTCCTGGTATACCTCCGGGATGTTGGGCTGAAGGGCAACCACAGCACTCTCAACCGACGTGGAACCACAGGGGACAGGGAAGCAGGTCCTCCGGCATTCGAGTGACCAGTCTGTAATTCTCATTCTTGACCATGAGATGGTAGGGTTGTGGCGTTGAAGCCAAGGGACGCCGAGGATGATCTTGTGGACTGGTGCACTGGTAATGAAGAAGGGAATGTTCTCCCGATGAATGGACTCCACGGTGAGGGTGAGCGGTTGAATGATGTGGGTGACGGATCCGGATCCTAAAGGCCGACTATCCAGGGCTTGAACCGGAAAAGGAGAGGAGAGCGGGTATGAGTTGATGTTAAGAGAGGAGGCAAGGGTCTGGTCAATAAAGTTCCCAGAGACACCAGAATCCACTAACACTGTAGACACAGTACATGAAAGTGTAATGGACACCAAAAAGAGTCTAGTAGACAGTGATGAAGATGGAATACTCACTCCTGCCCTAGGGGATGGAAGATCACGTGACCGTCCCTCTGCTCTTGTGGATCCTGGATTCGGACATGCCGGACACCTCTGGAGCTTGTGCCCTCCCTCTCCACAGTACAGACAGAGCCCCAGCTGTATCCGTCTGCGGTGCTCTGCCACAGGGAGACGAGTGACCCCTACCTCCATGGGTTCAGACTCTGATTCCGGGTGTTCACTGAGGGAGGGAGAGAAGTGATGAGAGTACCGGCGCTCCCGAAGTATGTTATCCAGACGGATGAGTGCGTCCACGGAGAGGTTGTCGTCTCGACAGGCCAGTTCCGTCTGGACCTCTTCACACAAACCTCTTCTAAATAGTGTACAAAGCGCCGGCTCATTCCAGCCACTGGATGCTGCTACTGTCCGAAAGGTGAGTGCGTACTCAGCAGCCGTCTGGTTATCCTGCCACAATTGCAGTAGCCGCTCACCTCCCTCTCTGCCCTCCGGGGAATGATCAAAAATACATTTAAACAAACAGAGCCATGAACCCCTCATAATAATCAAGTTCCTCCTCTCCTCTCTCCCAGAAGGCCGTAGCCCACTCCAACACCCGCCGAGTCAGCAGAGAAATCTCTGTGGGAACCTTGGACTTCTCGGTTGTGGGAGTTCCCCTCTGATGCAAAAAATAGAGAGCGCATTGAAGTAGGAAGCCACGGCATTTTGATGGTGTACCGTCATATTTATCCGGGAGGGATAAATGGGCATCGCTGACATGAGCGGGTTGCTGAATGGGCTGATGTGCTGGCTCGTTGGGTCGACTGGTTGTAGAGTATCCTCCGCTGGATGAAGACAACGCCTCCTGGGTGTGTTCGAGACGTTGCACACTGCGAAGAACCTCCTCCACAACCGATCCCAGTTGTGCCAGCTGGTCATGGTGTTGATGTAGAAGATAACCCTGTTCATCGACCGTCTGAGAGATATTTGAATTTCCTGCTGCTTCCATGGTTTGAGTCGGTATTCTGTAACAATGATGCTGTGAGTCGAGAAGCAGGTGCAGGTGAAACGTTTAATTAAACATCAAACATGAAAAGAGACAGCGTAACAGTGGCGATATAGCATAAACACATGAACAATAACGACTGAGGAATAAACATAAGGGAGGGACATATAAAGGGGAGGTAATGAGGAAGGTAATGGAGTACATGTGTGAATCATAATGATCTGCAGGTGCGTGTAATGATGGATGGCAGGACCTGTGGTTAGTATTCCGGCGACGTCGCACGCCGGAGGGGAGGAGCAGACGTGACAGCTGTCATCAAGGCAAAGGGTGGCTACTTTTTTGATTTGTTTAACACTTTTTTGGTTACTACATGACTCCATATGTATTATTTAATATTTTTGATGTTTTCACTATTATTTTACAATGTAGAAAATAATAAAAATAAAGAAAAACCTTTGAATGAGTAACTTTTGACTGGTACTGTATCTGCATATGCAGTACAGTAGGTACCACTGCAATATGTCAACATTGTGGGTTGTGGGTTGTTTGTTTAGGATAGGCTAAATGACTTTAAATGGTTTAATAGGGTGTGTGTGTGTGACTTTAAAAGGGTTTATAGTTTTTTCCAATTGCTAACACACTAAAATGACATGCACAGCACAATTATTTAAACTGACACAAGTCTCCAAAAATCTAAACACATGTTCTGCTTTACTCACATTTTGCAATTCAAAATGGCACTTTTTTAATGCACTGCACACGGTTCTCTGCATAAGTCACAACAATCTGACATAAAGTCACGTTTGCCATTTCAAAACACTGCCATTCAAAATGACACTACATGAGCTCATTGACCAATACATGTGCCACCTGGCCAAACACCTCAATGGTTAATTGTTACCACTTCAATCAGGAAGTAAGCACTATGAAAAGACCACAGGTGAGCACCTTCTGTTTTACAACAACAATGGAAGATGTTGCAGAGAGAGGAAGAGGAAGAGGAAGAGGGAGGGGGAGAATGAGAGGGGGAGGAAGAGTGAGAGGTAGGGGTAGAGCTGGTAGAGGAGTTCATGGCCAAAGAAGACAACAACTTTCAAATGAAATCAGAGCAACCTTAGTTGATCATGTCATCAACCATGGGCTGACAATGCGAGAGTCTGGACAGAGAGTGCAGCCCAACTTGAGCCGTTTTACTGTCGGCTGTGTCATCCGGACATTTAGACTGGAGTACAGGTATGTAACCAAGATTTCTTTCACACTATGTAGTACACCCCATGTCATAGTGTATCAGTTGAGTGACACCTGTTTACTTCATGAATGGCTGATGTCATACACTAACTGCACAAGTTTCCTGTACAATTTACTCTACTGTGGGGGAAATATCTTTAGGCTGCATTGTCCAAGCCCTATATTTTTGTTTTTTTGTTTTTCTAAAGGACTGAGATACGCAGCCATGGTGGAGGAAGGGGCCAAATAAAATCAGATTACAAGAAATTCAGAGCCACATCATCCAAGACAACACCATATTCAACAACATTCAACGAGTCAGTCTGTCCACATTGGCTCGCATTCTCAAGCGAAACCAAATCAGAATGAAACAACTTTATAAGGTGCCGTTTGAGAGAAACTCTCAACGAAACAAAGAGGTCAGACGAGCATATGTGGATGTAAGTACAATATTGACTGCAGTACACTACACGCAACATTGTTTCCCAGTGTACTGGATAACACCATATTGACTGCTTTTGTTCTTTGTTTTCAGGGAGTACTGGAAATGGATGCTCATGCAATCCCACATGAATTCATCTTTATTGATGAGGCTGGGTTCAACCTAGCAAAGACCAGAAGAAGGGGGAGAAACGTAATTGGCCACAGAGCCATTATAGATGTTCCTGGCCAACGTGGTGGGAACATCACAATGTGCGCTGCCATCTCCAATACGCATGGTGTCCTCCACCGTCATGCCAACCTTGGACCATACAACACAGCCCATATTCTCACATTTCTGGACAGACTCCACAACATTCTCATACCACCAGAGCGTATGAATGATGCAGACCATCAAAGAACCCGGTACGTTGTAGTATGGGACAACGTGAGCTTTCATCGCGCAGCCCCAGTCCAAAACTGGTTTGCTGACCACCCACCCACCATTTCTTGTGCAATACCTCCCACCATACTCACCACTTCTGAACCCCATAGAATAGTTATTTTCGGCATGGCGGTGGAAGGTATACGACCAGCAGCCCTTTGTGCGCATGCCTCTTGTGCAGGCTATGGAAGAAGCATATGATGAGATTGATGTGGGTGCGATTCAGGGATGGATAAGGCACTCAAGGCGCTTCTTCCCTCGATGTCTGGTAAGGGAATATATTGCCTGTGATGTGGACGAGGCGTTGTGGCCAGACCTAGCTGTGCGGCAAGATGCTGACTCATTATTTTTCTTGCCTCTTTTTGTTTTCTTTATATTTTTTCTCCACATTTTTTCTGCAATTTTCTTTTTCAGTTTACTGTTTTTTGTGAGCATATTTTTGTTCAGTCTAATGTAAATATATCTGCTGTGCATACGTTGCACTGACTTGTTTGGTGAACAATAAAAAATAAAATCTTTCAACAGCATGTGTGTGTATCTGCAAATATTTCTGTGCATGTGAACAATCTGAAGAATTTCTACAATTTGAACTATTTTAGTATTATGGCAAAGCATACTAAAGATGAGAGTGCTTTTCATTATGCCCAACAGTGTGTAGTTGGTTAGACAACAATCTGGTAATATGAATGAAGTGTGTGCCATTTCGTGCAAACGTTTGATTTTGATAATGCTATATGTAGTTTTGGTTGCAGTGCTTCATTTTGCAGGTTATATGAGGTATTTTGCAGTTTGGGTGTGTGGTTTTGTGAATTGTGTTAAGTATTTTGATAAAACCAGCATAGTTTGCAAAATTGTGTTTTAGCAATTGGGAAAAACTGTAAATATTGTGTGTGTGTGTCTCTCTGTGTGTGTGTATGTGTTTCTCTCTGTGTGTGTGTGTGTGTGTGTGTGTGTGTCTCTGTGTGAGGTAAGAGGGTTGAAACGGTGATCACTACTAACATGTGGAAGCCATTAGTCAGACCTATTTACCAGAAATGTGGTGCTGGGATCTGCACCAGGGGAATGTGTCTAGGTCAGGGGAACAAGGCTAAATCGTTTTTAGGACTTTATGGAGTGTTAGGAGAATTGCCTGTAGAGTAGACCCAGTGGAAAATAACAGGCTTCTCAAGGGGACGCTGTAGATCTAAAAGGTATGTGTGTGTGTGTCTGTGTGTGTGTGTGTGTCTGTGTGGCAGTGTACGATCAAATTAGACAATAAAACACTAGGAGATAAGAGTTCTGTATGATTTGAAACTAGACACATACCACCCAGCTCAGACATATAAAAGGCCCATGTAGGGCTGTTACGGTGACCGTATTACCGCCACACGGTGGTCACAAGACATGATGACAGTCAAAATTCACGTGACCGTTTAGTCATGGTAATTAGACTTCTCCAAGCTCTGATGCTGCTGATGGTCATTAGTAGCCTAACAAACTTACTAACTGCCTGGTACTCCGCACTCTATTGTCCCTCTAATCACTCTGACATCAATGCAAATGTAATTGAAAATCTAATCAAACACTTCATGAGAGCCCATGAGCTCATGTTGCTAAACATTTCTATAGGCTATGCAATTGCGTGAGAACAGAGTGATTGCCTCTATTAAAAAGAGGAGGATCCCATCAGCTTTCTATAGGCTAGGCCTACTATATTTATTTCTCAACTTTCCTACTATTAAGCACATTGCTTCTCTTTACAGCAGGAGTATAGCATACCTGACTGACATGAAAATGAACCACGTGAAAAGCGTCCTCCATTCGCTATTTAAGTGCATAGATTACATCAATTTTTTCCCGCTGCCCCTGTTTCGAGACAGGTGCATGATAATGGTCCATTCTAAATCAAAACAAATTTCACACATATATTATTTAGTATATGTAAAGACAAGATTAAATCAATAATAGTGTGATGGGTGACAATATAACCTCCTGAGTGGCGCAGTGGTCTAAGGCACTGCATTGCAGTGTTAACTGTGCCACCAGAGATCCTGGTTCGAATCCAGGCTCTGTCGTAGCCGGCCACGACCGGGAGACCCATGGGGTGGCGCGCAATTGGCCCAGGGTAGGGGAGGGAATGGCCGGCAGGGATGGTGTTTGCAATGCCAGGGTTGTGGGTTCGATTCCCATGGGAGGCAAGTATGAAAAAAAATAAAAATAATGTATGCACTCACTAACTGTAAGTCGCTCTGGATAAGAGCGTCTACTAAATGACGTAAATGTAATATTACCCTATCACTTGTGAATGATATATTATCACTTGTGAATGATGCCCTGCTTAAGGCAAACACCTCATGTAGCCTAGCACATAGGCCTATATGTTTTCATAAGGTTTGTATTACACTTTACAACTAAAGTGGCCAAATAACTTCTTTAAAATAAATCACATTAATCCGCTTTACAACTGGTGTAGAGCCTAAGTGGCATACATATGCAGCGCGTGAGTTTCAAGTTTGGGGAAGATAATTCTCACCAAAAAAATGCACCTTTATAATAAAAGCAATACATGCATAATCACATTTGTGGACACTTTTGAGAATGGTGTTTTCCTGCTAATGGAACATTTGCGCTTATAGCCTACTGCCGTGTGCGCATTGCTGCGCTTATAATGTGAAGAAATAGCCTAATAGTTGATCAACATTTTAAGTTAAATGTTCTCATCTGTTGCCTCAGGCTCATTGCTTAAAAGAGTTTTTTTGATGCTAGTGGTTGTATTAATTTGGGATTTATTGCATCCCACAACTGTCCCAGACAATGTTTGGAATATTTATTTCTCGCACAGAATAGAATAGGTCAACTTTTGTACTATGGGGGATAGTAGATTGACATAGGCTAATGCTTTTGCTGTTCATTAGGCCTACTCATCTTGTTGGCTGAAGAAAAGTAAATGTGGACAGTTCTTTCAATATCTTCAATATGCGCCTCGGAATTGGACAAAGATGCGCGCAGTTGTGTCCCGGATGTGTCTGTCTTCACTTGTAGCCTGTGCGAAAGACCCGATCACTTGATGGAGAGCCATGTGAGTGAGAGGTGCTTCGGCATGCTGGTCACTGGCCGCAAAAGGCATGGATTTGTTTAGGGGGCATTATGGCCACTCAAAGGGGATGCAGCCAGGAAATTCGAGGCATTATCAAGCGCTTGTAAAATTGTGAATGAGAGACTGATGAAGTGTGTACAGTCTGCGCAATAAACAAAGCAGAGCTCATGCCTTTCATGCGACTTTTTTCAAATCATCATTAGAGTCGCATCATGCAGCCTTAGAATGTATTGAACATCAAAACATATAGCCCAACATTTGTATCACAACTAAAGTTACATAAATAACTCTAAATTAAGCTTATAGGAGTACCTGTTTCCTTGTTAACCGCTCAACACAGATTTGCCGCATGTGCGCACTCCCTCAAATCGTTTGGAGAAAATATCCTTTCTGTTTTATTCAGCTATGTACAATTGTATTCTTCATATTATAAAACAATATAAAATAATGCCACGGAATTCTAAGCAAATCTCGTCTGCTAAATGAACTAGTGTAGCCCACAGCCATATGGCATAGCCAGATCAGGGCCTAAAATAAGGACAACTCAGAGTATGCTATTCTGTTCTTCTGAAATAGACTACATTTTCTTCATATCATGTTTCTTTAGACCTGTTTGAAATAAATAATGGATTTATTGTGATGATGTAGGCTATATTACATGGATTTATTCGACTTTTGAAAATGTAGACGTTCCAATGGTCTGCATCAGTGGCTTGTAGGCTATGCGTGGAAGCCAGGAGATGCTAAATGTGTTTATGTTAATTCACGGTCAATTAATGTGAGAATGGCAGTTATTTGCTTGACAATCACCTGCTGATAAAATGTCATGGCCGCCACAGCCCTAGGCCTATGTATATTATACTATAAATACCGGACCCTATAAGGGATATTACAAGAGGTAGAGAGTGAACTGTAGCTGAAACAAAGCAAGTATGTGAAACATGGTATGATATAGTATGAGGGCAGTAAATATATAATCTGAGACTGAGGGAGCGCTGTGTCTCAAGCCTTCTAGGAGCACTAAAACACGGTTATATATGGTACAGCAGGGTTATACAGTAAATATTAGTCTAGATTGTTTAGCCTGCTGTTCTCACTAGAGAACAAGAGGGAGATAAACCTTAAGGTTCAACATTAAAACTCTACACTCACACACATGCTCACATTTCACAACCTCTGTGATAGATTACAATATTGCAGGTTGTCTCACAGTATCATATTCAAGTCCAGGCCTACAGTCTGTCTCCTACCTGCCGCTGTGTGTGAGAGATTGTGTGTGTCCAGTCAATGACAGTCCTGCGGTCTCCTACCTGCTGCCGTAGAAATACCCAGAATCCTGCAGGAAACCTCCACTATGACCCACCAGGCCGTCACCGCGAAGCCCATCACTCAAACACTCCTCTCTTCTTTTACAACTCTCTTCTCTTCTCCCTCTCTTCCTCTCTTATCCACCTCTCTCCTGTTGGAATGTCAATGTGTGGGTTCTCTTGGATCCTGTATTATTGTAACATTCTGCAGTAGAACCTGAGCTCTAACAGATACACTATTCACTATCAGCTCCAGGGGTAACAGTGGTAACAGAGGCTGTATCCACACGGCTCCATGGTGCTCAGTCTCTCTGAGCCTCTCAATGAGTGGCTGGGTACTAATCAGCCTAAAGCAGCATTTAAGCACACACATACGCAAGCTCGTACACACACACACTACCACCCTCAGCCGGTTTTAGCAGTTTATACAGCATTCCAGACACACAAGGTGAGTGGGGCCGGTCAGATCAAGGTTGTGTGTGTGTGTTTGTGTGTGTGTGTGTGTGCGAGCTCTACAGGTTGGTAAAGGATATTCGTACCAGAGTGCTCTTTCTGATGGCTGGTTACAGGTTAAGGGCCCAGTGCAGTCAAAAACTAGATTTTCCTGTGTTTTATATATATTTCCACTCTGAGGTTGTAATAATACTGTGGAATTGTGAAAATGATGATAATGCCCTTTTAGTGTAAAAGCTGTTTAAAAAGACCGCCTGGAATTTCAGCCTGTTTTGGTGAGACTCAGTCGGGGTGTCAACTTACTGTTGAGTTAGAATAGTAGAATACACAACGTGCAGATTTGAAATTTGGTTGTGCATCAGCAGCTCTCCTTTTGTTATGTCAGTCAATGACAGTCACTCAATTGTCATTATTTTTTTATTGGAAAGTTAGTCTAGCCAGCTATCTAAACTTGTAGTAATCATGCCGAATTAAATAATAGGTCATTTAGCAGACGCTCTTATCCAGAGCGACTTACAGGAGCAATTAGGGTTAAGTGCCTTGCTCAAGGGCACATCGACAGATTTTTCACCTAGTGGGCCTCGGGGATTAGAACCAGCGACCTTTCAGTTACTGGCACAATGCTCTTAACCACTAAGCTACCTGATGCCCAGAATTACTGATCAGGCATGAAGGGCACATGCCCAGGGGCCCAGGTCTGAAACCTCTAGTCTCTCGTCTGCCTCTCCACCCTCAGAGTGTGATATAGGGCATACATGTTTATATCCACGTGTACAGAAATGTACAGGAAATCACAAAAAAAACACAAGACCACCAACTTAATGTCCACATTTGAATGAATAGACATTACCACATTAACAAACAATGAATACCACAACAACAAACAGTTAACACCACATTGCAGATACCACATTTACCCTATATAACAGTATACCAACAAGGCTGGCTGGTGGAATCATTGCACATTTGTTTGGTCTGTCTCCAATCTCTTCTACACAACAAACTAAGCATGAATAATAAAACCCACACATGTAGACACGTATGTGAAACGAAACCCTGACAGCGTGACAAAAATGTGTGTGTGTGTGTGTGTGCATGTGCGTGCCTGAGTTTGTGTGTGTCAGTCTGACACTTTTGCTGACTGTGCAGTGAGTGACACTAAAGAGGGATAGTAAAACATGTCAGACAGACTAACCCAGTCACAGTCTGTCATTGAGGTGATTAGTGGCCGTTACTGTAAGAAGAACAGAATATCACAGTGTACAGGTGGTGGAACAGACGGAATGTGAACTATACACTGTTACGTCCTCTACTCTCTGCAATAACAAACTGAATGAGAGATGGGTCAAAGCTGGTAGACTACGTTTCACCACACACACTCTCTCAGGGAGTTGAGCATAGAACACAGGCAGCTGCAGAGATATGGTGTGGGTGAAAATAACTTAAGCGAGCTGACATATATCCAGTGAAAGTGTGAATCTAGTGTTACAGTGTAATTAGTTCAATGTTTTCATTAGGTGGTTAAACAATTCTCAGACATGCTCAGTAATGACCCATGTACAGAAACGGAGACAAATATAGCAGGTTACTTCTCTAAGGGGGGAATTCCGACCCGAGATAAGCACGCATAAATGGAACATAATTGCTTGTGTTTCTTGGCCCAAGCAACTCTCTTCTTCTTATTGGTGTCCTTTAGTAGCGGTTTCTTTGCAGCAATTCGACCATGAAGGCCTGATTCACACAGTCTCCTCTGAACAGTTGATGTTGAGATGTGTCTGTTACTTGAACTCTGTGAAGCATTTATTTGGCTGCAATTTCTGAGCCTAGTAACTCTAATGAACGTATCCTCTGCAGCAGCGGTAACTCTGGGTCTTCCATTCCTGTGGCGGTCCTCATGAGAGCCAGTTTCATCATAGCGCTTGATGGTTTTTGCGACTGCACTTGAATAACTTTCAAAGGTCTTGAAATGTTCCGTATTGACCTTCATGTCTTAAAGTAATGATGGACTGTTGTTTCTCTTTGCTTATTTGAGCTGTTTTACCAAATAGGGCTATCTTCTGTATACCCCCCTACTTTGTCACAACACAACTGATTGCCTCAAACGCATTAAGAAGGAAAGTAATTCCACAAATTAACTTTTAAGAAGGCACACCTGTTAATTGAAATGCATTCCAGGTGACAACCTCATGAAGCTGGTCATTAGACCAAAGGAAATATGGTCTAATGAGTCCAAAATTGAGATTTTGGGATTCAATTGCTGTGTCTTTGTGAGTCGCTGTGTGGGTGAACGGATGATCTCTGCATGTGTATTTTCCACCGTAAAGCATGGAGGAGGAGGTGTTATGGTGTGGGGGTGCTTTGCTGGTGACACTGTGATTTATTTAGAATTTGAGAGAATGCCAAGAGTGTGCAAAGTTGTCATCAAGGCAAAGGGTGGCAATTTGAAGAATCTCAAATATAAAATATATTTTTATTTGTTTAACGCTTTTTTGGTTACTACATGATTTCATATGTGTTATTTCATAGTTTTAATGTCTTCACTATTATTGTACAATGTAGAAAATAGTAAAAATAAAGCAAAACCCTTGAATGAGTAGGTGTTCTAAAATGTTCAACCGGTAGTGTATGTTGGTCTGATATGTATGAGGAAGTGAGCACTGGAAGTATTTGTAAAATTATTTGTGCCAATTGTTGACAAGCATGCACATATTAAGACATTAACTGTGAGAACTGTTAGCGCCCCCTGGATTGATGATGATTAGAAAAATGGTATGGTTCAAAGAAATGATGCAAAAGAGGTGGCAAACAAGTCATCCTGTTCAGCTGATTGGTTGACATACCATAATTGAGACATTTTGTGACCAAACGTAACAAAAAGAAGAATAAATTATACCAAACCAAGATAAATGACATAAAACACAATGGGGAAAGACTTTGGAGTACCTTAAAGGAACGGTTCACCCATTTTGAATGTTATATTGTTTTTGTGCATTTCTGAGTGATGTTTGTTCGATTCCCTGGGTCATTTCATGTTTTCATGTGTATTGGTGTTCAAGCAGTTAGAAATCCGTCCGGTATGATGAAGCACCGTGATGAAGTCGCTCTCACTACACTGGAAGGTAATAGGAATACAACTTTTAGATCGCGAAAACGTATATTCATGCAAAAATGTATATTCATATTCAAAATTGCCCGATGTCATAACGCGGGAGGATGTCTTCTCATCAATGAACCATTGATCATATTTTGGCGATATTCCTACCTCGAGAAATGTTTTATTTAACGGAGGGTCTTACACATTTTTCCTATTTGTCTGCCTCTTTAGTACAGGGTGCATTGCATGCAAGGTTGCCAGGTCAAGCTAAAATTTGTAGCCCAATGACCACTCAAAACCTTCCCAAAAGTCAGAAAACTAGCCCACATTTATATTATAAAACTAGCCCACACTTGCCATATTTATAAAACTAAACTTTTTTCCATAACGTTATCGAGCCAATTAAGAACGATTATCAGAGTAACTTGTAACATTAGAAGCAATATTCGGGTTTCCTCAAAATAATAATTAGTGCAAGCTATGACATGACGTAATAAAGGAATTTGAATATGTGGCAAGATAAAATATAATTTGCCCTTATTAAACTCGCCAGATAATTTGTACAAGAGGGTATGGTATATGGCCAATATACCACAGCTAAGAGCTGTTCTTAAGCATGATGCAACGCGGCCGTTAGCCGTGGTATATTGGCCATATACCGCAAACCCTGGGGTTCCTTATTGCTATTATAAATTGGTTACCAACGTAATTACAACAGTAAAAAGTAATGTTTTTTCCCTTGGTATATGGTCTGATATACCACGGCTTTCAGCCAATCAGCATTCAGGGCTCGAACCAGGTGTATAATTGTAAATAAATCCCCTTTGTGCATGTGCATAACTATAGATACAGTGGGGGAAAAAATTATTTAGTCAGCCACCAATTGTGCAAGTTCTCCCACTTAAAAAGATGAGAGAGGCCTGTAATTTTCATCATAGGTACACGTCAACTATGACAGACAAAATGAGATTTTTTTTTCCAGAAAATCACATTGTAGGATTTTTAATGAATTTATTTGCAAATTATGGTGGAAAATAAGTATTTGGTCACCTATAAACAAGCAAGATTTCTGATAAAAACTTTTGGGTAAAAACTCAACTCGTCGTGTTTGGAGGACAAAGAACGCTGATTTGCATCCAAAGAACACCATACCTACTGTGAAGCATGGGGGTGGAAACATCATGCATTGGGGCTGTTTTTCTGCAAAGGGACCAGGACGACTGATCCGTGTAAAGGAAAAAATTAATGGGGCCATGTATCGTGAGATTTTGAGTGAAAACCTCCTTCCATCAGCAAGGGCATTGAAGATGAAACGTGGCTGGGTCTTTCAGCATGACAATGATCCCAAACACACCGCCCGGGCAACGAAGGAGTGGCTTCGTAAGAAGCATTTCAAGGTCCTGGAGTGGCCTAGCCAGTCTCCAGATCTCAACCCCATAGAAAATCTTTGGAGGGAGTTCAAAGTCCATGTTGCCCAGCGACAGCCCCAAAACATCACTGCTCTAGAGGAGATCTGCATGAAAGAATGGGCC